TCAAGTAGTTATATGATATAAGTTATAAAAACTAATATAATATAACACATGTAAGTCATAAGTAACACATATCATTCTAAAATATATAGCAATATATTTTTTTTGTAAAAAATAAACTAAATTTAATATAGTTTTCTCAAAAATTTTAAAATTTAAGAATAATTTTTTAACAAGCACCCGTGTAATACACGGGTGTTGTACTAGTAATTCTTTTTAAACGGAATATTTGATAAACAACTGCCCTTACTAGTTTTTACTTTTTAGATTAACTAAATTGAATATTTACCGGCACAAAGCAGGGGACCGCTAATGTGCGCCGGCGCCGTGTCCTCGCACCTCGCCATCTCTCATGGCCAGTAGAGAACTCTATTACAGCTCCAGGAAGCTCATCCTTCCCACTTTATCACTTGCCTCCCGTCTCCTCCTATCTCTCCTCTGCCTCGCCTCAATTTTCTTCTGTTTCTCGCTCTTCCGGAACGACACCGCGTCCCCGCCGCCGCTAACCTATTCAGTGGTGCCGGAGAAGAATGGCGGCACCTGCGACTACTCAGACGGGCGGTGGATCTACGATTCTACGGTCAGATCTCCGCCGCGGTACGACCACACCTGCAAGGAGATATTCAAAGGGTGGAATTGCATCGCCAGCGGCAAATCCAACGCAGTTGATATACTCAAGTGGCGATGGAAACCCTACGGCTGTGATCTCCCACCATTCGATGCGCTTCGGTTTCTAGAGAAGTTCCGAGATACAAACATTGGTAAGGATTTGGTAATGCCTCAGCCACACTACACAAATTTTAGAGTTGTTAACATTCAAAGAGATAATGTAGTATCAGTTTGCAATTTTTCGAATTGTTATTGCTTCATCTCCAAAACTATTATGAGATATCATTCGTGTTATTGATGATGTTTTCTCCGGACATTTGGGTAGGCTTTTCGGGTTTTTAAGGTTGGTGAGATTATCAAATGCTACCTGTAGTGTAGGCTTATTGATTTTTAACAGTGCAGGATTTATAGGGGACTCCTTGAATAGGAACATGTTTGTTTCTCTTTTTTGTGCTCTGAAACAAGTGTGTCCCGAGGTTAAAAAGTGGCGCCCTGCTGGAGCTGATCGAGGCTTCACTTTTCTCAAGTACAATCTTACCATTGCTTATCATCGAACAAATCTTCTGGCTCGTTATGGTAGGTAAGCTGAAAATGCAATAATTTTTGTCATGTACTTGTTGAAAAAAGTTCGACAGAAGTAGCTAGGAACTGTGTTTGGAGGTCTATTGTGTTAGCAATTATTCGATGCTTAAGTTCTAGTGGAGATGAATGTATTTGGCTGCTGTAGCAATGAATCTTACTGATAAATTTCTTCTTTAAGGATCAAGACTCTCAGTATCTATTCGTTTATAGGTAAGAAACAATAATTTGAAATGTAGGACGTTTAATGTCTTTATTTATAGGTAAGAAAACATAATTTAAAATGTAGGATGAAAATTAATAAGCTCACACTCTGTAAGCTTTTGCAAGCAATTTCTAGTACCGTTCCAAATTTCCATAAATAAAAGAAGGAAATTAAGTTAGAGAATCTTGTGTTTTAATTACGCCCACACCCCAAAGTTAAGGGTCCACTCGAAGCATTCAGAAGCCGAGAATGCATATGGAGTTGATAGTCCTGCTAGTTGTATATTAATTTCATGTTTTCTCCTCACAACAGCAAATGCGAACTATTGAGGTTCTGTTACCATGCATCTATTTCCGATTGTTAGAAATTATCTGATAAAGAAAATATGTATGCAGAATGACATAAATTCCATATCCTATCAATTAGCCCTTGTAGAGTGCTTTTGAATGTTTAATATTGGTAAGGATCTTGTGCTTGTCGCAAAAGTTTTAGACTATGAAGTTTGTTCTAATCTTATCTCTTCGCAGTTGGTAGTTGGCACCTATATTTGCACTGATATCATTATTTTATTTATTTTTTCTAGAAAATGTTTATACATCTGAAGTTGTGCATTTCCTACATTCTTTTGTTTCGTGTTCTGTGCTTTCCAGGTGGTCTGCCAATAGTAAAAGTGGTACATTGGAGTCACTTGGTTATAAGGAGGGCTATAGAGTTGATGTTGATCTACCAGAAGGAACTTGGGCAGAAGCCCCAAGTTTTCACGATATACTCATCTTCAATACAGGACACTGGTAATTCATATTTTCTTCTGGTTTGTTCTGTAGACTGGATTATTTAGTAAATTTATTGATGGCTTTGTTTATTGAAATGAGAACCTAACTAAATGAAACATCTAGGTGCCGGACTGCACCTGATGTCCTGATTATGCTTTTGCTGAAAATCCTTGTGTAATCTGTGAACTTTCTCAAGTTGATTCATGTTCATTGGACTTCAAATTTCTAAGCCAGTTGCATCAGTTAATACTCAATCGAGCGTAAACTCTCTCTTTGTGAAGTGCGATTCATAAAATTCATCTTGATCATACTTTCCCCTGTCGTAAGGGCAAGTGATAAGATAGGTCGCATGACCTATATTATATAATCTATTAATTTTACAAGGTATGATTTTTAAACAAAATTATTATCCAAAAATATTATTAAGCCAACATCATTATTAAAGCTTACAATTTTGATTTTCCAATGTTTATTATTTTATATTTTGTACATTTTCTATACGAATTTAGGTTAAGCACTAGCTGAACATAAGTACTGGAAGCATCACCTTTTACTGACTGTTGCTGTTTTTTCTTAAAATCCTTGTAGTCTGTTTTCTTTTCACTGGATTCTCCTGGAAATTGCGTATGATATATTTATTCTTCTTGATTCTGCTTTAGGTGGTGGGCCCCTTCAAAGTTTGATCCTGTGAAATCCCCGATGCTCTTCTTTGAGGAAGGTGTTCCCGTGACTCCTCCAGTCGCCCCTGAAGCTGGGCTGGATATGGTGTTAAAACACATGGTATGACTCTTTTGTAAAATACCTATATGAAATATATGGTGATCCGTATTTTGTAAAATAAACCGCGCTTATTGCTTCATATTTTATTAAAGGAACAACAATTTTCTTTGTTCTTTTTCTTTTTTAATACTTCCAGTCTCCTCTTTCCGATTATTCTTCTCCTACAATGTTTTTTATATAGGTATCTTTTGTGGAAAAGAATGCACGTCCCAGTGCGATTCTATTCTTTCGAACACAATCCCCAAGACATTTTGAAGGAGGCGACTGGGATCAAGGTGGTACGTGTCCTCGACTACAGCCACTGGTTTCGAAAGAAGTAAGCTTTTCTTTGTGCTGCTTTTCTTTCCTTAGGTGTCTTAAATTCAAGTTTATATCTATACTACCTGGATAATAGTATATAGGAACATTACACTATTCTCTCCCCCTTGCTTTGCCTGATTATTCAAAATTATGTATATCAAGTAATGTATATAAGTGGGTTATTTTATGTTCAGGTGGAGCAACTGTTCTCAATCAAGAACAATGGTACGAATGTAGAGACACGTCTTGTGAACCAGCACCTATACAGGGCCTTGGAAGGTTCTAATTTCCGAATATTGGACATAACACGAATGAGCGAGTTTAGAGCTGATGCTCATCCATCTACAGCCGGCGGTAAAAGACACGATGACTGCATGCATTGGTGCTTGCCTGGCCTTACCGATACCTGGAATGATTTGTTCATAGCTCAACTAAATGCCCTTTAGTGTTTGAAATCTCTCTCTGTATCATCATTCTGTTTAATTTTACTTTTTATCTTTTAATCCTTCTATCTGCAACACTCCATGTATTTCAGGTACAATACATTCTTTGCAATGAAAGTTCGCATCCCATTTTTTCGAAGCATTGGAGATTCTGATCGTGGATTTAATGGTGATATGTCCTCTCTTTACGATAAACTGCCGATTGGAGAACAATTATGAATAACAGCTAAATATAGCTCTACAAATTTATTACTTTTTCCAACTGATAAACTAATTATACATGGAGTGTAAGCAAAGGGTGCTTTTCTTATTTCTAGTTAAATCAGTAGGGAGGAAGAGAACATTCCTTGGGGAGGCTATTGTTAAACCTCTTATTATCCTGGCAATAATCATAGTTGAGGTAATTAACCCTGACCCATTTAAGCAATCTTCTTTGGGCCCCCGTTAAAGAGCTGAAAGTGCCGTTATTCCACCAATTTGTTGGGCTCGCAGTACTGCAAGCACTGACACTCCCCTTCCATTTGCAGGCATCAATCTTATAGTTTTGGAATGAGGCTGAAAATGGGCTGTAGGCCCAGTTAATTTTGTCTTTTCCACCATTTGTGGCCCAACTCTCTCCGTTCCAAATCGAGGCCACGAGCATCATGGGCTTCAAACTTGGGAATGGGACCCCTCTATCGGCATGATTTCTAAATGTCCGTATCGGAACCCAATCTACCATGAATCTGCACGAACAAAATATAATTTTGTGCAAATTTATTATGTATATACAAGGTTAGAGTAATATTAAATAAAGGGAATAACTTGGTATCAAAAGCTACTCCAAGGAGATTAGTTTACAATATTCTTATATGCACTAATAAGACAAGACAACTTGTCGCTGTTTGGAAAACTTAGCCAATAAGCTACCTTATGAATTTCGAGCTTATATCTGATAGTTTATGATTTATGGCTGAAAAGTTAACTTGTATGATAAACGTGTTTGGTAAAATTAGTTTATAAGCTAGCTGAAATAAAAATTTCCATTGACTTATTTGAAAAACTACACAAGGAAACTTATGAGATAAGTTTGAGCTTTTTAAAAAAGTTCGTCATACCAAACCAAGTTTATTTGAACACATGAAACTTATAAGCTAATCAAATAAGTTATAAGGTAGCTTATATGCTTACCAAACACAACCAGAGTTTATATAAGGCGTAATTCGGATCTTAACCTATCATACAAACATATCTATTTTATTATTATTATTTTTTTTTTTTAAAATAAGTGATTGAATTGTATAAGCATAGTTTGATGATGGCTTACATAATTTGGTGAATGTTCCATAGAATGGAATAGGTGTGAAAATCTTTTGTTGGATCAAACCACAAATTGATCCTCTCCTCTCTATCATCAGATCCATTTGTATACACATTGGTTTGGAGAGTGTATTGATTTCCAGCCAAATTGCCAAGAAACTCAAAGTCAACTTCATCTCTATTTGTTTGATTTTCAGAACTCAACTGCATTTTTTTCAACACATATATACTTTTATTAGCAAGCATAACATCATATATACAAGAAATCCCATTGGTGATCATATATATAACTGCTTGATGAGGCATAATATATTATACACTGATAATCTATGCTACCTGGAATCGGATATGGGTGGCGTATCGGGTGTGGAGATATGAGCGACCGACTCGTCAATAGTTTAGAAATTTTGAACATTTTAGGCTAAAATGCCACACCCGACACTCATACCTACACCAGTGATTACACAGCATGACACGGGTATTCTTCCTAAATCGGGTAACATAGCTGATAATTTGAAACATAATTTAAAATGCACCAAAGATTAAAACAATTTTACTATTTATTTAATATTAGGTTAAACTTTAGGGTTTTAGTTTCCTTTTTTTTTAATACATAAACATTGGTTTCTTCTCAACTTACATAAAATGCCACAACAGTGCCTGCTGAGTTCCCTGGAATCAACTTGATTTGCATGTCAAACTGACCAAACAAGAACATGTCCTTTGAAGCAAAACCAGACCCTAAATTTTTTTCAAGAAAAAAAAAAAAATTAAAAATATTGAATTTGCATATAGTAGAAAAAGTAAATAAATAAAATTTGAGAAAAGGAACCTGAATCCTTGTCAAGAATTATTGTTCGGCTTTTGCCATCCGAAGATGTGTTCACATGGCTCGGGGACCATATCACATAGAAATCCTCGTTATAATCCCCAGTCGAAACAACCGAACCCAACAAACCTTGGATCAAAACGGTCGAGAAAGTAGCGATCAAAATGAAAAGCTCGGAAAATCTATTCATCGTATATTTCTTGTGTACAACATCTAAAGAATGAGAGCTTCAATACAAGATGACTATATATGTAGGGTATTGCATGAAGAGATTAAGTTCTATATATGGTTTTGTTTAACCAAAGAATATCTTTGGTGGGAAGCAAAGAGATATGAACAATATGTAGGTTGTAATAAAGGGGCAAGTTTTGTGAATTACCTCTTAGTGAAACATCAAGAGAGAAGTTATAGAACATTTAATTTGATTAATAAGAATAATGATCACAAAAAATCAACCTAATTTCATTATCAGAACTTTCAAGAAAATCTAGCTTGATAATTTTTTAAAGTAACAAGACACAAAGTCAATTAAGAACCATACTATTATTATGTAAAGAAAATTAATGCATTTAAGCACAATATTTTTTTGGCCTAATTCAAAACTTTAAACCATATTAATAATTTAATATTGTGTTGAAATATTCCATGCCTTTGGCATACATAAACTTATATGCTTTTAATTAGGAACATTCCAATTCCAATTGCAGAAAGTGTGTGACAGTAAACTTGATAAGAAAACTCTTTCCTCAACTATTCTTTTCGTCTCATATGATCTCAACTCTTATATTTGATTAGGTCGCTTTAACCATTAATTAAACCGATGTATTCCTTAAAAATATACATAATTGTACTTTAAAATATCGTACTTAAAAAATGTATGATATTTAATAGTATAAGTATGCATTTATTTATCACATATATTTATATTGTTGTCGGTCGATCTGCCTAATAATTAAGTCGTATCATACGAGAATTTGTAATGTGGATAATTTTGGACAGCTATATCAAACACAATTAAATAAACATTCAATTAAAATCCAAATTGTTAATCGTGTAAATAGTGATAAAAAAAAAAAAAAAAAAAAAATCAGATTCGGTATCTTAGAAATTTGAAGCCATAATAATTATTGACGCCTTAAAAGGGGACTGTATAATTTAATGTAAAACCAACACACTGTTTATAAATCTACTAGCCTTTTGACTTTTGAGATATGAGTTCACTTTAATAAAATTGCATTTTCTACTATAAATATCAAAAAAATGGAAAAATAGAACTGTTACATTTTTTTGTCACATTCATTTAGTCCTCACGGTGAATATATAGAATAAATGGCTTAAAGTATATATTGCTCAAATTGTTGTCTCACAATATCTATTCACTAATTTTACGAGCCTATGGCAACTAGCTCGACGGTCTTAAGTTATACTATCTCCTATTCTTTTTAAATGTCATTTTGGCATTATCAACTGTTAACAAGATAAATGCCGTTTCGGATATTTTGTACGTACTCTTACATTATTACCCTCATTTAGCTAATAATTACATTACGTCTTTTTGTTGG